CCAGGCATCCAATGTTGAGCACCTGCCATTTGTTTATTTATCTTCTTTGGAGAAATGTCTATCCAAATGCACAGCCCATTTTTTCAATTGAGGTTTTTGCCTTCTTTGTTGTTGGGTTGTAAGAGTTCTTTATACACTCTTAAGACCCAGCCAGATCTCTGGGTTGTCAATGCATTCTTTCATTTAAGTGATTTGTCTTTTTACTTCCTTGATAATGTTCTTTGGTACACAAATGCTTTTCATTTCAAAAAAGCAGTTTATCTAATTTGTTGTGTTACTCATGCTTTTTGTGCCAGATTTAAGAATCCATTGCCAAATACTCGGTTGTAAAGATTTAACTGTTTCTACCTGAGAGTTCTGTACTTTTAGCTCTTAGACTTAGGTTGCCAACTCATCCTAAGCTGATTTTTGTGTAGAGTGTGAGATGAGGGTCAACTTTCTTCTTTTACATGTGGAAATCCAATTTCCCTGCATCATTTTGTTGGAGATGATTCCTTCCTCCTTGGGTGGTCCTGGAGCCCCTTTTGAAAACCAACCAGCTAAAAGGACACAGGTTTGTTTCTGAACTCTGGTCTATCCCATTGGTCTATAGGTCTGTCCTTATGACACTTTTAAATTATGTAAATACGGGCAGCCCCAGTGGTCCAGCAGTTTGGCACTGCCTTCGGCCTGGGGTGTGATCCTGGAGACCTGGGGTCAAGTCCCACGTCGGGCTCCCTGCGTGGAGCCTGCTTCTCCCTCTGCCTGTGTCTCTGCCTCTCTCTCTCTCTCTCTCTCAGTCTCTGTGACTGTCATGAATAAATAAATAAAATTTTAAAAAATTCTGTAAGTACTGTAGCTTTGTGACAAGTTTAATACCAGATGGTGTGAGTTCTCCAGCTTTTTTGCCCTACCTCTCAGCATTGTTTCAGCTCTTCAGAGCCCTTGGATCCCATAAAGTTTGAGAATCACCTTTTCCATTTCTGCAAATGAGGCCATGGGAATTTTAACGAGAACCCTACTGACCCCTTGACCACAGGGGGTACTGGTACTATCCTCACAATATTGACACCTTCCTTCTGTAAACATGGTAGGTCTTTTGGTTTAGGTTTGAGCTCATTTCTTTCAGCAATGCTTTCCATTTTTATTTTACATGTCTTTCACCTCCTTGGTTGAATTTATTTCTAGGTATTTTATTGTTTGGGATGCTTTTGTAAATGGGATTGTTTCTTCACTTCACTTTCCTATCACATGTTGCAAGTGGACAGAAACACAACTGATGCTACCTGCATTTCCCACGCTTCCCACCTTGTTGCTCTAAGATTGACGTACAACATTGTCATTACATTTCAGGTGTACTCAGTGGTACCTCGGGGGCTCAGTCAGTGAGGTGTCTACCTTCGGCTCAGGGCATGTTCCCAGGGTCCTGGGATCTAGTCCTGCATCAGGATCCCTGCTTGGTAGGGCTGCTTCTCCCTCCCCCTCTGCCTCTCACCCTGCTCATGCTCTCTCTCTTTCTCTCTCTCTCATAAATAAATAAATAAATAAATAAATAAATAAATAAATAAATATTCAAAGTGTACTCCCATTTTTTTCAGATCTCTGAAAATTATGGCACCAGAAAAGAAAGGTTTTGGAAAATAAATAAATAAATAAATAAATAAATAAATAAATAAATAAATAAAATTATCTAAAAAGTTCTTTCAATGAGATATTTTGGCATTTTAGCTATAGATTTCAGAATGGGCAGATATCATATTCTTTTGTAAATGACATGCAATAGCCCGAAGGTAGTCGGCTGTACAGATGCTGCAGGACTGGCCATTGGAAGCGCGTCTTCCACTTACACAGGAAGAGCCTCAGGCAGGCAGAAGTTTCCAAGAGGCTGTGTCTTCGTGAGATGCATACAAGGTGTGTGAATAATATTGAGTATTCCATGTTAACATACAGCAACATATTTAATATATATGTCCTTTTTTAAAAGATTTTATTTATTTATTCGTGAGAGACAGAGAGAAAGGGAGAGACAGAGGCAGAGGGAGAAGCAGGCTCCATGCAGGGAGCCCGATGTGGGACTTGATCCCAAGACTCCGGGACCAAGCCCTGAGTTGATGGCAGGTGCTCAACTGCTGAGCCACCCAGGTGCCCCTGATACATGTGTCTTGTTCAACAATGGAATTTGTTCCAGCAACCATATTAAAAAGAAAAATAATTCCATTGTAGAGTGGGGAAAATTACACACATTCTGTCCCAATCCAGAATAACTAAACAAGTTTCACAAATAGCAAAATAAATCCGTGGAACAACAAACTAAATTTATATAAATAATAAACAATAATTTGAAAGTAAATAAATACCATATAAAATAAAGTGTCACCAAGTATACTAACACTTTTTCTTCTTTCTATTCCATTTTTCCCCCCAAAGCCCTTTGGATGCTCACAGTTAATTTGCAGTCAGACTATCCTTTTAACATGAAGTTGCCAAGAGCAAACTCCCTGAGGCAGAGCGAGGCTGAGTCCCCGTGTGTCCTGGGCCCGTGGGGATCAGGGGGGTGGGCCCGGCTGGCAGCTGTGGGAACCTGGTCCTCCTGCCTCCTGGGCAGCTGGTCCCAACACTGGCCATCCCGTGTGCACCCGCGTCCACCCACACTGGCACTTGACCTAACTCTGCTCCGGGCGATGTCCTGACCAGAGCCGGGGTGTCCGGGTTGTGTGCCGAGGGCATCTGCTGGATGCTGTGATGTCAAAATACCACTTCTCATAATGCATTTGATGGGTTTGGGCTGAAAACAGCCACTCTAAGGAGAATGCAGTGTCCGGACAGTGCTGGGTGTTTTCAGGCGCTGATGCTCCTGGACCGTGAGCTGGAAGCCGGTCTGCGAGGCCAGCCTGCAGCTACAGCCCCAGCTCCGCCAAGGGGCCGGGCCGCCCACGCTCCACAAGGACAGCCGTGGGCCAACACTTGGCGGCTCGGGGCCCAGACTTCTTGGCAGGAGTGCCCACCGGCTTCCCCAAAGCTGAGGGCCCCTGGCGGTGCTGGCAGTGGCTCCTCTCGTCCCTGGACCTCTGGTCCCCCACCAAGTCACTCCCCTGGGAGCAGCGGCTTGGCCAGGGCAGGCTCATCCCAGAAGTCCTGGGTTGTTCCCTCCCCCACGGGGATTCCAGCCTGTGGCCGGTCGGATCTATTTGAGGGTCTTTCTGTCCTTCACAGAACCCTACATGGCAAGTGCCAGGTTTCTACTTCACCGTAGGCTGCTGGACAGGGCCTTAGGGGTATTGCTCTGCAAGCCCGTGTCCCACTCTGCACTCATGCAGCCATGGCTGCATCACTTTGTGAAACTCAGACTAACAGAGCAAAACCTGTCTGAGATGTCGAAACCCACAGAAACCCCGGGAGGGACCCCTGTTAACCTTTAGTGGAAGCTGCTGGCTGCCAGTGTCCTGGAACCACCTCCCCTCCAGTGGTTACAGCCCCATTCTGGATCCCTGTGAATCAGGATGCTCCACTGCCCCATGAACCAGCTGTTGTGCAGCAGGGGAGGATGCACATGGCATGCACTGAGCAACTGCAGCTTCTCCTGAACCAAACCTCCCATTGGAGGCATCCGGATGACGTTGTGTAGGAACCTTGCCCGGAAGGAAGAGAGAGGCCTGCAGAGCAGTGTCTCCATGTCCTGGGTCTCCTTCCAGGGATGCTTGTTCCTGTCAAGGCACAAACACCATCCCGGAAGGGGACGGTCCCAAGGGCCCTGGACTGCATTCGGAGCAGCCCTCACAGACTTGTGCTCTAAGTCACTAGACAATGAGAGTGTGGAGAAATGTGTCTCACCCTCCTGCCTGTCTTCCGAGCAGTGGCAGGAAACGTAGCGTGTTTTGTTACATTAGATTCTCTCTGACAGTCACCTCCAGGCCACAAAGATCACTCCCCTCATTGATTTCTTTCTAGGTTCCTCAGAGGCTTCCTGTTCCATGTACATAGAGCTGGTCTGTCCTTGGCATTTATGTCACGACATCCACCTTTTCACCTCCCAGATCAAAGCAGGGCCTTGACTCATCCTGTCACCCCAGGAGGTCTGTCCTGCATCTTGTGGCTCCAGTGCTTGACTCCCTCTGGCTTTACTGCCATTTGCACTTATTTCCCCATCTTCCCCCACATCTGACTGCACCATAACCCTCAGCAACCCCACGAAGCAGCTGGGAACCAGAGACACCCTACAGCTCCTACAGAGGGCAGGCTTGTTTGTGTTACTGCCACGGGATCCGTCTCTGGTTTGGAACAAGAACAGGTGCATCTGGGAGGGGGGCTCCTGTGTTCAGGGACACCTGCTGAAAGTCACCACCTGGCTCTGCTCTCGCGTCAGGAGGAAGAGCAGCCGGCGGGAAGGGGCACCTAGTGACCGTCGGGTGCAGCGCTGATAGCTGACGGAACCTGAGGCCTGTCCTGACTGGACCCCAAATCTACACCTGAACCTCAGGAAGGCAGAGGGGAGCCCTGTGACCAGACGTGCTCACGCAGAGGGAAGCAAGACGTCAGCTCTCCCCAGCTGGGGTTGGTCTCCCTTCCCCCCAATAGAAACCCTGCTAATTCTTTTTAAAAAAGGGAGAGAGATTCATTTATAGAAAACCTTTTTACAATTTATTTCCTGTTATTAATCTTTAAAGTATAAAAAATGAGGCTCTAGCTAAATGCAGGGTTTCAGTGGTGAAATTTTGACCATGTGAACAAATAAATAAATATTTACAGTCTTTGGCAAAACAAATGAAGTTTCATCAATCTGGAAGAGAAGTTTGTTCAAAAAAAACATAAATAATTTACCAAAAAAAACTATGGTACATTCTAAATATTCACATCATCATCCCACAGCACTGTGTTGTTCGGCCAAGGGACACCAATAGAGAAACCTGCACGGCCTCCACGACCGTTACATTTAGTCCAGTCCCCAAACCCCGCTGTTCTGGGGACACGGCTCTGCAGAACAAGGTCAAAAGTGCAGCAAAACAAAAAAATCAACCTCAAAGGAAGCAACAAACGTAACTTTATCGAATGAAATGTGGAAGTTGAGACAAAAGTCATGAATCCTCTCTATTTTGCATAGAAACGAGATCGCTGTTGACAGAAAGGGGAGAAAGATTCGCCTGCATTAGACAAAACCAATTCCTCTCATTAAACCCCTTCTGTGGAGTGAGATTAATATTTCCTGTAGAAAGATCATGCAATTTAAGGCAAAAAAAAAAAGAAACAAAAACGTGTGTATATTATGGTATGACTGGTTATCGGGTGTGCCCAGCAGGCTGGATGCTGACTCTTCGTCAGCATTAAAGTCTCAAATCCTATGTACAGCAGGTCGGCAACAGTAACAGACCAAAGGACAGTCGCTGGCGACAGTATAGATAAAGGTTCCATTATAAACTCTTCACAATCATTTATTGATCCTCCTCCGTTTTAAGCATGCTTTGTCGTGACAACATAATATTGCAGAGCTTGGGTCTTGACAGGAAGGTATTTTGCTGTAACTTCATCTTTGTATTATCATGCGTGTGGTATGTTTTCATCCCTAGGAATCACACTTCATGTGTTACTTGACATGTTTAAAATAAGTTATTAGTGAATGGAGCTGCATTCTGTAGTCATTTAATAAATATTAACAAAACGTTTATAAGTGGAACCTTGGGGGAAGGTTTGGCCAGATTAGGTAAGCAGCTCTTGCATAGTGTCGAAGCCTAGAATAGGAGTTAGACGCTAAAGTGCATTTGCTGGTGTGTTTGCCCGCTTGCTTGATCTCCAGCAGCAGAGACTGAGAAAGAAGCTCAAGCAGAAACTCTGGCTATCAGAAAATCAAGGGACAACAGGCCAGGAGCTCCCCCAAGTCTGCAGGGCAGGAGCGGCCTGCTCGGCTCTGCTAACTTCTCTAACGGGGGCTCTGAGAGGCCCTGCCTGGACCCATGTGGGCACCGCCTTGCAGGGTGTCCCTTCTCAGATGAAGCTGCACCCCTGCCCTGTTGAGGCCGCGGACTCGGGCAGTGGGCAGGGGAGCGGGGTTCTCGTAATTCCCGTGCGTGTTCCCACTATGGAGCTGGCCCCCCGAGGTGTGACATCCCTGACCTCTCGGCTACACGGTACTACTTCATACTCCAGTGGACCCGTCCCCATGGCCACCTGCCTGCGGCTGTGCAACAGCTCTAACCCAGGAATGGAAATGGCTCTAAGCACTGAAAGTCGTGTAGCAATATTTTTCCTGCTTAATTTATGACAAAGGCTTGCACACAATATTCCCTTCAACTCCATATACACATAAATACAATAAGTAATTACATTTTATATGTAAACGTCGTTCTTTTTAAACAAACAAGAGAAAACGATGTAATGCCATGTTCAATTTTCACTGCACGTAGAGTCTGGTGCATCATCAGGCTGTCTTCCGCGGCGGGCGGGATGTTCCCCGTCGGGTTCCACGAACACGCACCCTCTGGAGGCACGTGGGCTTGGGGTCGGCGACGGTGAGCGACCCTCAAAGTCAAGATCAAGGACAGGAGCTGCTGCTAAAGAGAGAGAAGCTGGAAGCACCAGCAGAGACTGGGGCCTAGGTAACAGCGTCTACAGTACATTTCCGGAGATGCGGCAAGTCTTGCTTAGACATCTGCAAAATAAAAATACAATAAACAGAATTAGCATGGGTGGACCACAGGTTTGGTTTGGCTTTATTTTCTTCTACCCATAACCTAAAATATCATCTTAATTTTTAAAACCTCCACACTTTGGATGGATGTATGAATGGTTGGACGTGTGCGTGGAAGGGGTGTGTGTGGGGGGAAGGAACACATCAACCCAACAGAGGGGAAAAAGAAACAACGATCTTGTGTCCTCGTTCTCTCTTTATGTGTAATTTTCAACATGTGTTTGTTGAGAAGTACCTCTGGGCCTCACCGACCCCGCCAGTCGGAGGGAATATGTTCACGTCCCCACGAAGGTGTGGGGTCACATTAGATGGGGCAGGTTCGCTTCTGGGTCTGCAACACGGTGATCCAAGTATGCTCCAGAGAGAGAATGGCAGAGAACCCTCTTCCTTCCTCCTTCCTTCCCTCCTTCCATCCTTGCCTCCTTGCTTCCTTCCTTGCCTCCTTCCTTCCCTCCTTTTTCCTTCCTTCCTTCCTTCTTTCCCTTTTTCCTTCCTTCCCTCCCTCCCTTCTTCGCTCCTTTCTTCCTTCCCTCCTTCCTTTCTTCTTTTCTTCCCTCCTTCCTTTCCTCTTTCCTTCTCCCTTCCATCTTTTCCTCCTTCCTCCTCCTCCTCCCTCCCTCCTTCCTCCCCTCCTTTTCTCCTTCCTTCCCCCCTCCTTCTTTCCTTCCTCCTTTCCTCTCTCTTCCGTATTTTCCTCCTTCCTTCCTCCCTCCTTCCTTCCCTCTTTCCTCCTTCCTCCCGCCTTCCATCTTTTCTTCCTTCCTTTCTTCCTTCCTTCCCTCCTTCTTTCTTTCCTCCTTTTGTCCCTTCTTCCCTCCTTTCCTCCTTCCTTCCCTCTTTCCTCCTCCCTCCCTCCCTCCTTCCATCTTTTCTTCCTTCCTTCCTTCCTTCCTTCCTTCCATCCTTCCTTCCCTCCTTCTTTCCTTCCTCCTTTTGTCCCTTCTTCCCTCCTTTCCTCCTTCCTTCCCTCTTCCATATTTTCCTCCTTCCTTCCTCCCTCCTTCCTTTTCTCTTTCTTCCTTCTTCCTTCCTTCCTTCCTTCCTTCCTTCCTTCCTTCCTTCCTTCCTTCCTTCCCTCTTTCCTTCCTCCTTCCCTCCTTCCCTTTCTAATCAAGGGTAGCAATCTAAAATGCTGCCAGAGGTCCAGAACACGTACAAAATATACACAGCCCCAGGACCAAGCACAGTGTAGACAAGCAGAGCCAGTGAATAACTGGGAAGTGGCTCTGGACAGGGCCCCCCCACTCACCACCCTAATATGCCACTTTTATAAAACGTGTGTCCCTTCCCTGTTCTCTGTGCCATGAGCCGCCCACACAGTGACAATGTCACCCACCTCTGCATTCATATTTGAGGTCCGAGAAATAGACCATCTCTTGAGAGAAGACAAACAGACCCAGTCGACCACCGGCGTAGGTTTGGTCATAGATGGGTCCCGAGTCAGCCATGACCTGTTTTCCTTCGTGCACCAAGACCCTGAAAACAGGAGAAAGAACAAGGTGTGAATGCCGGAGATGAGAGGCCAGCTCTTTCCTTACAGCTGGCAGCAATAAATAGGCCAGCGCTCCAAGACCCAGCAGACCTGTAAGTGGCCCCCCAGCTGCAGGCAGAGTGCCCTCCAGTCCCCAGCTGCCTGGTGGACAGACAGCCACCATTTCTAGACTCTCTGCCTGGCATCAGGTCCTCACCACTGAGGCCACCCTCCTCATGGCCTTCACATGGCGTCACCCACTGGCATCCACCCACTAGGCCAGAGCTGCACGCCAAGAAGGACAGGGCTCTATGCTCATGCCCAGAGCAGGACTGTGTGCATCACTGCCTCCCTGACCAGGTCACAGCTCGTGGGCAAGGCAACATCGCGCCCAGACAGCGAGGCCGTGCTTCTCTTGCCCTGGTCTGCTTATTCACGCTGGGGACACACACGCTCCTGGCCTTTGTGGAGAATCCAACCTGCCCTGCCCTTATTACTCAAGTTTAAATCAATCATGTTTGTTGCAATCAAGATCAATGAGAAATGTTGTCAATGCCAAAAGAGCAAAATACTGTTAGTCTGATATTCGTGAAAGCTTTATTGGAAAATGTTTTAGGTTCAGCCATCCACAATATCAGAAACAAATATGAATGTCTTCTCTGAAGGAATCACATGTTAATTTTGCAAAGACACGGTTCATTTGCACTTTCTGTCCCTTGCCTGGGATATTCACAAGGATGAGAGTTGCTCATCATCCTCCAAGTTACATTAACAAGACACGTTGGTGGGGATCCCTGGGCGGCTCAGAGGTTTAGCACCTGCCTTCAGCCCAGGCGTGATCCTGGAGTCCCAGGATTGAGTCCCACATCAGGTTCCCTGTATGGAGCCTGCTTCTCCCTCTGCCTGTGTCTCTGCCCACCCCCTCTGTGTCTCTCATGAATAAATAAATAAAGTCTTTAAAAAAACAAAACAAGACAAGCTGGATTTTCTCCTCTTCCATAGTTGTTTTTTGTTGTTGTTGTTGCTGTTTTTTTTTTTATAAGTGATGTGCAGTAGAAGATGCAGGATAGAAAAAAGATGCACAAAAGTGGAAGAGCCAAGAGGACAGCAAAGAAGTGAGCGTTCATGTCAGCTCATTTGTCTGTTATTGTTCAGACGCATCATCTGACAGGACACTCTTGCAGTGGGAGCCAGTTGGGGGAAGCCACCCTCACCTTATGTAGCCTGTCTTCGGTCTGTGGGTCAGGTGCCACCTGTAAGCAGTGTAGTCCTTCCAGCCGATATTTTTGGGGTCGTGCCACAATGTGCGCACCTGAGAAAACACATCTGTCCTGAGTCCCGTTGGCACCTGAGTCTTGACCACAGTCTCACTACCAAATGGGAAGCAAAGAGGTTACTCTGCACATTCACGCCTGAGGCTCATGCTGCTACATCACGCTCGGCTGGATTTCGTAGCGTGAATCTCTCGTGTGGATCAAACCCCACTGACAGGGAGCAATGTGGTCCTGAGCTCAGGGCAGAGGTGTTTGAGCCGGAGCCGTGGATTTAGATTCTGGATCCTCTGCTTCCTCAACATGGGACTTTGGGTAAAACACTTAAACTTTTAAAACCCATTTCCCCCTACCTCTAGAAGAAGGTAGAAATATGTTCAGTTTGCAAGAGGATCATCATTGGCGTTTACAAAAGAACTAGACATGGCATCTTTAGTAAGGTTCATACTCAATAAAAGAGTGTTAAAACCAGTGTACATTCAGCCAAAATTAATGACAACATGGAGGCGAGCCATCTTTGCATTGGACGAAGGCTGCTCTCTTGAAAAGCCATGGCGGCTGCAGGGCCACGTCAAAGGGCACTGGCTCAGCGTGCCTTGTCATCCTACCTGACCTTCGGTGTTCCCCGTATGCCACAGAGCATTCCTCAGGTGCTCGCCTGTCCCCGTGGTGGAGTTCACCACCTTGAGGGACACGCCGGAGTAGCCATACGCCCGGGTGGGCTGGTCTTCCCAGTAGGTCTGCGTGACCTGCTTCCACATCACCACGTAGAAGCGGCTACTGGACTGGTAGCCAAAGACGAAGCCGGCGTAGTCATCGTCCCGGTCGGTGTTGACATAAAATGTGCCACTGAAGTCCACGGACCCAAACTCATCAAACCCTGGATGTCAAAGGGAACACGCATCATAGGATTTGGTCAGAATGGCATTTGAGGGAAAAATGGCTTTTGAGGGATTAGCCCTGGGGTCAGTGAAGTGGATATTAGGAGGTGGGTCTTGGCTCTTCTCTGCCATCCACCCTGGGTTCTGTGACTCTGGCATTAATGAAACGTGTGGGGTTTCATATGCTCAGATCCCACATACCGTGTTTTGGCAGAGCTCTACTGTATCGTGTAATATCTCACAGACCAAATCCATAAAATAAAAAGGCTTATTGAATCTCAATGTGTGATGCTCCAGTCCTTCCATTGAGACCACATGAGCAGACCTGGGAGCACAGGGCCTCGCAAGAGACCTCCCTAATCCTCCCACCCCACTAGCCTCCCCCATGTCCAATGGGTGCCTTGCTCCCCAGAACCCACAATGCCCAGCGCATGTCTGAGGCTCACCAACAGCAATGCCGGGGTCGGAGTTGGCCGTCTGCACCAGCTCCTTGCCTTGATGGCGAATGACCCAGTTGGGGTCGATTTGGGTGGTGCCCTTGGGGTCCAAGTGGACCATCTGAAAGTTTCTGAAGTCGGTTTCACTGATGGCACTGTTTTCGGGACACACGTCATCAATGTCTGGGATGCTGTCATTGTCAAAGTCGTCCTTGCAGGCGTCCCCACGCCCATCACCTGCCACCAGGACAAGCAGGAGAACGAGGAAACTAAGTAGAGGGTTTGCCATTTGCCTCTCAGGAGGGTCCTCACACGTGTAGACGTGATGCCCCAAGAGCCACAACCATGTGTTGTAGCCGCAGCAGCTGGCAAGTCCCCAAGGGCCACCCTCAACACTGGGCTGCAGGGCAGGGGGCTGACACATGGAAGACTGAACTGAACTGCCAGCTGTTTCCAGAACTTCTGTTACGACCTTTCTTCATCATCCTGCCCCAAATCTATCTGGATGGTAAAGCAGAGCTCTTTCTACAAATGGCTTTCCTTGGTGAGACATGGCCTTGGTTTTTCTAGAAGCTTCTTTCTACTTGTCCAGTGAGGTGCTGGAAGGGGTGGAGGGAGACCCAGGGGACTCAGACTACGGGCTGCACACGGGGGAACCCACGGCCCCCACAGCTGCCAGTCTGCGGTGAGTGAGACCATCCCCAGGCCGATGGCAGCTTCCTAAACTAGCTCCTGCTTCAGAAGGAGAAAACAGTACTGAGTTCAGCTAATTTCCCATCACATTCTGAAAACCACTTTTTGGTTCCACCCAGTAGCACGTGTCCCAACCGATAGGGATGCAGGCACTCACGCCCTTGTGCATGAGCCTGGATGACACTGAATGCTCCAAGCCAGCTAGCCTCTTCCCATCCTGGCTTGTACCTGGACTCCCACAGGATGGCCTGAGCAGAGTGCTGTGGTCCAGACAGGCTCCCTATGTCCTGCTGGAACCATCCGCATGGTACAGGGACCCCCTGGAGCCACCCTCAGATCCCGAGTCCCCCACCTGCCCATGAGCCAAGTCAGCTCAGATGTCCACATCCCGCCTACACTCCTGAAGGCCAAGCAGCCCTACAGGCACTTGCAGCCCTAAAGCCACTTTCTCATGGGGCCCCCAGGGCCCCCAGCACAGCATGCACCTCACTGTCTACTGGAGACCCTCTGAGAACCCCAATTCCTGAGGCCAGACCCTGCTGCCGCACACTGCATGGGGTCAGCTGTGGGAAAACCAAGTCCTCTTCCTGATATTTCACACCCAAGCATGTTTTGCTTGCTTTGCTCCTGAAAGATTAAATCCCAACCTTCCCTGTCATGACCCCAGGTCCCCACTACATCTCATGCATGACTGGCACCTCTCCACGGAGACCACTAACAGCTTTCACACTGAGATGCTGCTGCCCCAAGATGCAAAAAGCCTGCCCTGGCCCCGTGGGCTAGTGGGCACGTGCTGCAGGGGAGGCTCGGCACTCCCACCCCCCACAGACGGGCCCCTGGGCTCCCAGTCTCAGCACCTACCATCCGAGTCCTCCTGGCCAGGGTTGAACACAAGCCGGCAGTTGTCCCTGTCGTCGGGGACACCATCGTTGTCATCGTCTGAGTCACAGGCATCACCCTGGCCATCATGGTCATGGTCGGCCTGGTTGGCATTGGAGATGTAGGGGCAGTTGTCCTGGTTGTTCTGGTGTCCGTCCTCGTCGATGTCCTCATTGTTATCACACTGGTCTCCCACAAGGTCATTATCCACGTCGGTCTGGGGGACAGAACAGGGACCCACGTGAGCCCCCGGGGACGGGCCGTACCCTCCGCCTTCCATGCCCACTCTCCGTGGGCTCGTGACATGGAAAGAGGACTGGAAAGAATTAACGCCACGGAGTCAAGTGCCTTTGTGACATCATTTGCAGCCGTACACTCCACGCACGGCAGCAGGACGTTACTATCGCTGCGTCTTCCAGAGCAAAATCTGGAAGAGGGAAGCAGCTCCCAAGTTTGCTGCTGGGAAATGGGAAGATAAATGGAGGAGGCACGTCTCCCTCCAGCAGGGGAGGCGAAGGCACCCACGCATTTGGCCGGCAGCCACCGAGATATGAGAGTGGAGCGCCGGGTTCAGTAAATGTTTTCAATTAAAATTATTGAAAAGCCTATGCTGTCACATGTTGGCAGCACTAACGGAAAGCCACAAGGCATGTCCACTGACTACTGACGAGGCCCTCGGGCCCCTCGTGCCCCTGGACACACCCGGTCCATCACGCCATCAATCACCTGGTCGGGGTTGTGCACCAGGGGGCAGTTGTCGCAGTGGTCACCCACACCGTCCCCGTCGGTGTCTCTCTGGTCAGTGTTGTAGACGTACGGACAGTTGTCCCTCTCGTTGAACACATCTGCAGGTTTTCCAGAGGAAACACGGAAGTGGGCTGAGTTTAGAAAAAGCCAAGAGCCTTCCTACTGCATTTAGAGCAACTTATAGCCAAGCTTTCATTTAATAAAAAAGGATCTAAGATTATGGTGAAGTGTAAATATTATTGGGTTTGTGGAAGACCATATGTCAGATTTCCCATTAAAGTTTAGATCCCCTTAGTTTAAACCAGAGGCACTCTCGGCGTTTCGGGAAAACGCTGCACGCTGAGCTGTGTTCTCACGGTGCGAGCTCTGAGTTCACCGTGTGGACTGTTTCCCTCCCATCAGCCTGAAAATATGGCCTGAGCCCCAGACACTGAGTGGCTCCTGGGGTTCGACTGCCTCCTCGTCACCTGTTTGCTACGTGGAGGGAAGTGATGGTGGCAGAGACCGACAGGGATTCCAGGTGTGATGAATCCCATCAATGTTGGAGTCTTGGAACATGACTTAACCCCGTGCACAACCAGCAACCCCAAATATCACAACCACCGAGTCAGAAGGAGCGCGTGGGACAGGCCGAGGCGCCTCCCGCCCGGCCAGCTGGAACCCCGGGGACGGCACAGGGAGGCCAGTGAGGACAGGTCCTCTCTGCCATGGGGAGAGAGGTGCCCGTCGGCCCTGGGCCCAGCCCACAGACGCCCACAGGCAGGGCCAACCACCATGGGGACAAGGGCAGCTCTCGAGGGCGCCAGCCTCTGCGGCGGAACACAACCTGGACTTGTCGGACATTCCTGACACCCAGGGGTCCCCCTGACACCCAGCCAGTCGCCGTGGCTGACTCGTGAATGGTTGGAACCAGGGGTGTGGGTGGAGAATATCCCAGGACAGGGAGGCAGCCACTACCATCAGACGCGTCTCAGAGGCGCGGCGTGGCGAGGACACAGGATAGCGCTCCTGGGGTTCGGACAGGGGTAAGCACGAAGGACACGGGGCACAGGACCAGGGGCTCGGGTCACAGGAAGGAAGATGCCACACCTGCCATCTTAGGAAGGGAGGACCCAAGGCTGGAAACATCCCCCGCTGGCCTCAGGAAGGGACAGGCCAGCGAGGTCGGGCTCCCGTGAGTACAGCGGAGGCGCCGTTGAACCTCCCGCCAGCCCGTGGATGCTGCGAGCTTACACCAGGCCCACGGGAGGACGCCGACGCGCGAGGCCGCAAACCCGCGTCCAGGGCAAGGAGCAGGACTGACCGTCTCCGTCAATGTCCACGGAGCACGCGTCCCCCTCGCCGTTGTTGTCCGTGTCGATCTGTGCGGGGTTGTGCACGTATGGACAGTTGTCACAGCGGTCTCCAACCTCATCCTTGTCGTAGTCAAATTGCCGGGGGTTGAAGAGAAGCTGGCAGTTGTCCTACAGAAAGGGAAGGGAAGAAGCCAGGACACCGTGTGGGGTTGTGCGGGGCTGCAAGTCACGGCCGCCACGCAGGGCGGACACCCTCGCACCCAGAGCCGGCCAGCCCCCGCCCCATACTTTCTTGCCACCTAACCATATTGTGATTATTTATACATCTGCCTCCTGCTCAAATGTTGAGATTTTCTTATGGCAAAGATGACGTGGTGCGTGCATCATGGTGAGAACAGATATGTCCGTGTCACAGGCGTGAGCGAGTGAGTGATGGATGCGGGAAGGGAGATCACGGATGCATACGGCAGCCTGAGTCGGAGCTCTCCTCCCCGGCCACCCGCTCCCTAGGCCGACAGCAGCCCTGCTGGCCCCACCTTCTCATCGTCCACACCGTCGTTGTCGTCATCATCATCACAGGCGTCCCCAGTGCCGTCCTTGTCAAAGTCTTCCTGCCCAGAGTTAGGCAGCAGGGGGCAGTTGTCCTGCAAGCAGAGGACGTGCCCGAATTATACAACACACAGGGGGCAGGGGAGTGACCCCGTGGGCTCAGAACTGCAGGGTCAAGGTCAGGAGCTGTCCTCAGGGAGGCGAGGCCACCCTTGGAGACACCGTACCACTGCCATGGGTCCAGACCAGGGTCACTCATGGTGCTTGCCCAGGACCCCCTGTGATGCCGCCACACAAGAGCAGAAGCCATGGGAGTGAGGGCCCCTCTCTGGAAGCCTGGAGGAGGGCAAAGCCCGGAGGTCCCCTTCCTCCCACAGCGCCAGCTCACGCGCCCTCTGCCCTCCTCAGCCAACAGCGCCAGGAGTCAGGTGTGGACATCTGCTCGGAAACTGAGACGTAGAGTCCAAACCATCTCCCCAACCAGCTCTTCACACGGTGGGTAACTGGGCGTAATTAGGAAGGACATTTCGTTTCACTCCAACTCCGACTATGTTATAATTCAAACCCAACTGGCTGGTGAAGCACGCATTTCAGTTCTGTTCCCCGGCTGCCACAGAATCCCAGGGTCCACATAGAGCAGCAGGGACCCCGGGTCCCATACAGGTCCCACCTGGGGCCAGGTCTACAGCCCGCTGCCATCACACCCAGGCTCCCCCAGACTCGCAAACATACCAAAACGGGAGCCCTGCCCAGCAAGTTACCGCCTGGAGACAAGAAGCCACAGGGAGCGAAGGGAACCCCCCAGAGCTCCCAGATGTTCAGACCCCAGAATTATCTCCGATGGCCACAGCCGTCCCTTGTGGGAATCCCTGGATGGCGGGAGGTGGTGGACAGGAGCACCTGCAGGTCCCGCGCCCCGGCCCTCACCTTGATGCAGTGGTAGGTGGCGTTGGTGGCGCAGACCAGGTTCTTATTGGGCCAGCCGTCCAGGTCCGAGTCCTCCCCGCAGATGAGCCCGTCGCCCGCATAGCCCGTCTGGCACTCGCACTTGTACATGGGGTCGCTGAAATGCCCCAGGTAGATGCACTCCGCGTGCCTGTGGCAGGCGTGAGTCTTGTCCTTGCATGGGTTCTCAGGCTCACACACCTGTGGGGAGAGGGCCGCGTGGTTAGGACACGGCAAGACCCTGTCCTCAGATACAGGGGTGGAGGCAGGCACTTGGGGACAGGCGCAGGGGTGCAGGGCTGCCCGGGGGTGCTGCAGGGACAGCAGGTGCCAGGCAGGCCTCCAGGACTCGGAGCTGGGCTCCCTCTGGAGGCAATTCCCGGGGGCTCCAAAGCAGCACCTGCAGGGCGTCTGAGCCCACAGGTGACCGTGTGGTCAGCAGCGTGCAGTGGCCCCTGCGTCCTCTTGGGCTCCTCTCAGGCTCAGCTCTGTCCCCACTAGGGTGGTCCGGTCAGGATGGTGGACAGGCTCCAACAGCCCTCCGCCTGCGTCATTGCAGTCAGCACCTCCCGCCGCCTCCTCCAGGGAGTCCGCCCTGTTCTTCTCTACATCTCCTCCGCCCAGGGCTCTGGGTTCTGCCCAACTGATTTACAGCCTTTACCCAGAACACAGAAGGCCCAGTTGCTCACCTGCTTCTCAGTCCTGGCTGCCTCCAGGCCGACGCCGAAGGGCTGGCTCCCTTTGTAGCGAGGGGGGCACGGCAGGCAGTGGAAGCCTGGATTTGTGTTGACGCAGCGGTGGGCCTTGCTCGTGGTGAAGCAGACGTCCGTGACCACGGCGCACTGTGGGATAAGCGGGCGTGAGCCCCGACCCTGTGTCTGCGGGCGCCCCATCCCCGGGGTGGGCACCCACCTCATCCAGGTCCTCACAGTGCGTGCCGTTGCCCAGGAAGCCCACGGGGCAGGAGCCGCAGGACCAGGACCCGTCGGGGAAGCTGCTGCACTGGGCGCCGGGGAAGCAGGGGTTGGATAAGCAGCCGTCTGCGGGGAGGACGCGGAGCCAGGTGAGCTCAGGCGAGCACCGCCGAGCAACTCACAGAAGGACGGAAGTGCCGCCTGCGCCCCAAGAGGCTCCGCATCTGCCCACGACTCCGGCTCAGCCACAGGGAAACAGAGTTACCCAGAGGGAGCCGGCGGCCGGCGATGTGCCACCGCGATCCCGGGCCCCCCAAAGTCACCACCTCCCAGAATAGGTCCTTGGTGGTAAACATATTGAGGCTACGCAGGCACCTGGACAGTGGTTGTCACACCAAACATTCTGCACCGTGCGTTTCCTGTTTTTACAAAAAAACACTGAGGAGCGGGATGATGAAAGCAGCTGTCATCACGTGTGCAGAACTGCGCTTTCTTTTCTGTTTTTCTGTTTTCTTTCTGTTCTGCTTTTAATTTTACATTTTCTATTTTTCCGTTTGCAATCAGAATAAAAACTCGGTGGCTTGTTCGAAGAGCCCTCTGGCTGCAGGGTCCAGACCACAGGGACGGATGTGAGCGAGCGGCGGGGGCAGGGTGTGCCCCTCTCCCCACACACCTACCTATGGGGCAGCTCCTCTTATTGCACATCTGTTGCTCCTTGACATCGCCCACGCAGTCCTTGCCGCCGTGCTGGGGCTCGGGCTGTTGCAGACGCGTGTCCGCTCCCGGATCCCCCCGGCACAGGTGACGGTGCAGGCGGACCACGGGGACCAGGGGCTCCACCGGCCGTCGACTGTGGACAGAGAGCACAGACAGTCGAGGGGAAGGTGACCCATGCAGGGGCTCCCAAGGGAAGAGCCAGGTTGGAATGGGGTCTCAACCCATGGCGGGAACATTGGGAGGTGTCTTTTCGGGGCCCTAAGCTCAGGGGTAATGTAGATGACAGATTGCACTTGGCTTGGTTTTCAGCTCCGGGAAGAGAGATCACACGGGTGGGCCTGCAGGCGTGGTGCGTGGAGACGGGGTGGTCAGCCAGGGCCGGCGGGCGCAGGGAGGAGCTCAGGTGCATTCTAGGGGACTCCAGAGAAGGCACCTGCACTCTCCTTTCCCTGGCTGCCAGCGTGCAGACATCGGGCATTGGAAAGCTCTCCCGGTGCCCTGGGTCCCAGGTCTGGCTTGTCCCCGGAGGCAGAGGAAGCCGTGCCCCCCCCCCCAGCATCCCACGCCATCTACACGTCCCCCAGGAACGGCACACAGCAACTTTTCCCATGGTCTGGCTGGTGTTCCCCTGAGTCGTGGCTGGACTGTCCTTTAACCAAGCTAACCAGATGAGGTCAGAGCTCCCAGGCAATTGAGGTCACCCCAGGCCGCCTTCCAGCATGGTGCCAGTGGGGAACGGCAATGCCCCTTCTGCGCCACCCTGGACAGGAGTGGGCCTGGCCCTGGGGCCCCGGTCCAGCTGTCTGCAGCGCCCGCTCCCACCCGGCCTTCACCCGACTCACTTGGACAGGGGACGCCCTGGCAGCCTTTTGTCTCACGGCCGCTCCCTTTGCAATTCTTGCCCCCCATCTGGGGGACAGGCGAGTTGCAGAGCCGGATGCGCGTGATGTTGCCGACACCGCAGGTCACAGAACAGGAAGACCATGGTGACCAGTGGCTCCAGCCCCCGTCCTGCCGGACTAGCACATGGGGGCAGGAGGTCATCAGGGGAGGCTGTGGCCCGGGCATCTGCTCACACACAGCGGTGGACAGGAGGATGTGCAGCAGGAGAGGGACAGGAGGACGCGCAGCAGGAGAAGGACAGGAGGACATGGAGCAGGAGAAGGACAGGAGGACGTGCAGCAGGAGAAGGACAGGAGGATGCACAGCAGAAGCACAGGAGGACGTGCAGCAGGAGAAGGACAGGAGGACCCACAGCAGGATGACAGGAGGATGCACAGCAGGAGAGAGTGCATCCCCTGGCAGCAGCCCCCAGACAAGGTCCCAGGTCCCCTGACAGCAGCCTGCCCCCACCGGCCCCAGAACCCCACTGCTGGCAACACCAACCCTGACCCCGACACAGCGCAGCCCCGACACTCACTGCGATTGTCGCACTTGCCCAGGCTGCAGGCCCGCGTCTGGATGGACGGCCCCAAGCAGGTGTTGCTGGTGACGTCACAGGACCGCCCTCTCTGCTGAGTGCCGGAGCCGCAGGTGGTGGAGCACTCGGTCCACTCGGCCCACGGGGACCAGCCTTCCTCGCCGTCCAGCGCTGGGTGGGAAGCACAGGAGCCCGTCCAGCCTCCGCCTGGTGCAGCCCATGAGGCAGCCCACGAAGTGGACCCCACGTGCTGGGGGAGGCAAGTGTGCGCCTGCCCCGAGCACACTGCCCAGCGGGGCCACCACCAGAGTCACCCGACGTCCACACCTGGTCGGGGAGCAGGGGCTGCTCTCCAGGCAGAACAGACAGCACGTGGGGATGCGGACAGAGCGCCATAGAGGCCACAGTGTCCACCGTCTGCACACGGAGCCACTCTAATCCCCCGCGTCAGGGAAGGGGCCTACGGATTCCTTAAGGTGGCTCAGGAGAGAGAGTCCGGAATCACATCTACACGGGGTCTCACTGGACTAACAAGGTTTCAATAGCTTCCCTTCTCACCTCCACGGCTGCGTTACGTGCGATAATGAAGTTGTTCAACTTTGGTTGAGATTACAGGTCACCAAATTTAGTACCAAATAATTTAAATCAGGGAAAGTTAAATAAAAAGGGAATTTCCCTTAAAGAAAGTCTTCAGAGCGAATGGCGATCTCAGAGTAAGAGAAAAGACGGGGTCTCCAGGGGAGGGATCTTTCCTGGGAGCCACAAACGGCACCACTTTCCGGCCGTCATATTCGGGTTTTGTGCCGAGCGAGGATTAAGTGTTCCCAAAAGCAGGAAACAAGACAGTACGGTCATGGAAAGGGCTCTCGATGGCGCGGAGCACCTCCCTGTAGCCCGAATCGGGCCCCTGCCTGTTGGGGTCGTATTCTCATCTCACGCCGCGCATCCCGACGGGAGGCACATCTACCTCCTAACGTGCACGTCAGACACAGATGGGTCTACTTGAATATTGTCTGTTTTAACCATAAAACTAACCCTATGTGTGGGGATAACCATCCCATATTTTACAGGTAATGAATCTGAGACCCGAAAAGTCATATTTTGCTCCACATCACAGTGGCAGAGTCCCAGCGCATCTCCACCTGCCCCCCGAGGGCGCATGAGAAGGGGAGGGGGCCGCGGGCAAAGCCTGCAGGACGTCCCCAGCCTGTGACCTCGGGCTCGCAGCCCCCAGACCAGGCCACCGAGGATGGAAACCAGCGAGAGGTGAACCAGGGCATTTCAGAATAAACGTCCCAGGGGGCAAGGACGCCAGCGGGGTGGCAGGCACACTCACACAAGGAAGGAGGGGAAGGAGCCCACGTGGGTCACAGAGGGGCAAACGCAGCGGAGCCCAGCGGCAGGAGAGCAGGGCGGCGGCGAACAGCTGGAGGGTGGGACCCGAGCTGGGACAGGGCACCTGCTGAGGGCTGTAAGCCAGTGCCCTGTCCTTGCACCGTGGCCACCGAACCCAGCTTCCCCACCGAGAGGCGACAGGACAGGACACTGACTGCAAGGACGTTCCGGCTCCTGGTCCCTGTGGCTATGCGTGTGGACAGCTCGGGGTCCTCCCTGCCATCTGCTCTCAGGTGCAGGCCCCTCTGCGGGCTGCGGGTCGCAGGCACTAAGGGGTGAGCTGGCGGGCGCCCCGAGCTCCGCGGCGCACTTACAGTGGAAGCAGGATGGACAGCATTCTCCTTCCACGAAGGACGGGTTGGCACAGGTCGCCGGGGGGCAGGTGATTTGGTGGCAAACGGTCTTAAATTTCTGCAAGCAGAGAAAGGTCCGTGTAATGGTCATTTAACAGAACAAGCTTTGGTGCGAGGCCTGGACTGGAAGGGCCGGGAGGACGCTGGGCCCACCCCGGCGACCTTGTGGGCACTGCGGACAGGAGGGCCAGGGCGGCGTCACCCACTGACCCCCGAGGCCACCCGCGGTGGAAGCCGGTAAGATCACGGAGGGGAAGAGGCCAGGCTACCTACCGACCCCCACGTGAGCAGTGACCTCACCTCCAGGACCCGCAGACCCGCCTGGAGTTACTCACACTGGCCGCCTCCCCCCGGCTGTCTCTTGCCCCCTGCATGACCCAGGACAAGCCAGTCACCTCCCAGAGCTCGGTTTCTTCTGTGTGAAGCAGTGAGGCAGTCGGAGCCTGATGTAGGGTCAACGCCACTTGCACAGCCCCACACTCAGCCTCCTGACACTCCTGCACATGGCCTGCCTGCCGCCGCGCCCCTGAGGAGCCTGGGGGCCCGGCCACCCCGCACTGGGCCTCTCGGCCCACCCCGCAGGGAGGGCTCCCTGCGCCTCACCTTGCAAGTACACTTCGTGCAGCTGTCCACCACCCAGGTCTCGTTTTCCGCAAAGAACCGGCCGTCCTGCCAGCACGCGGACATGTTCCTCGTCTTGGGCGGGCCGCCGATGAGCTCCCAGAGAAACTGGTTATCATTGGACTGGAAGATTGGGGGGAATCGTTGAAGTGTAGACGAGTGCAACGTACCCACTCTCTGTGCTCCCGCACCTTCTTGACCACAGCGCGCCCGCGGCCTATGTGGGGCTCTGCGTGGGGTGACAGGACCCCATCGGGGACACGGGATCAGATCTAGGTGGAAGGGTCATGTCATCTCGGTCGTGGGGGGCAGGCCAGCCGCCATCGCCCTCCAGGGCTCCGCTCGTGCGTCAGCGCCCAGCTGACACGGTGGGAGCTGCCCCTGCACGTCTGCCCAGCAGCTCCAGCCCTGGGGCGCCTATGCCTCGGGGTCCAGCGGCGACTGGTGCTGGACGGAGATGGGGCCTCCCCACCAAGCGCCACTGAAAACTAACGCCCCACTTGTGAATTCACGTGCGACTCCAAAAACAACCGACCTGGCCTGATGACACAACAGCAAGGACATGCGTGGACCTAATTCTTACTGTCACAGACCAGAGGAAAAGTTACTGGGTTTTAAACAAAATCAAACAAGTGAAGGGCCGTGGACTGCCAGCAGCAGATGTTTCCAGAGCCCCCTCCCTGAAACGCTCTGTGGGTTCGTCTCCCCACCCGGGGCTGCTGAGTGGGGGCCATAGGCCCCATGAAAATCACAAGAAAGTCAGGGTCCTCTCTGCCCTAAATGCACAGAAACACACTGCTGGTGAGGTTCCGGGAGGTCACTCATGTCCCTGCCCCCCAGTCAGGCAGACTCGTCCCAAGCCCTTCTTATCCCTTGCTGCCCCCATGAGAGTCCAGCCTGCAGGGGTCTGAGGCTGCGATGCCCGCAACGCCCCCAGGAAGACCCCTTGTCCTGCCTCCAAATTCCTAACTTCCTCCCTGCAAACCGTGGGCGGTGCTGGCGGTGCTGGCAGTGCGGTTGGAAGTCCTGCCCCGTTCCCGCCCAGGGCCAAACCCCAGAAGGTGCACAGCCTCCTGTGGGGGCCTCCCGAGCAGTGCCCTAGCCTCTGCACGAGCTGCCCTGGCTATGCCCTCTGCAGAGTGTCTCTGCGACGCCTCCAGGGCAGGAGGAGACCCCAGACCTGCAGACCTCCCCGCCCTGCGCTCCCCCCCCCCCCGCTGCCTGTCTGGCTCTTCATGGGCACCACCTGCCCCCATCCCCTGAGCCAAGCTGGGGGTGCGTCCCAGGGGAGCCTGGCTCTGTCAGCCCCTCTCCTAGGCTGGCACATCTCTGAGACCCTGGCTGCTCCTGTGCGGCCGCACCCTCACCCCCCCACACACACCCTCCCTCTCGCTGGGGACATGAGCATCCCCTGGCTTGGAACCGTCCTGAGGATGCAAAGCTCCAGGGCATCTGTCGTTCAGAGTCCTCCGTGCCCCCAGCCCTCCCTCATCACCCTGTTCCCACCCGACGCCCCGTGAGTGCAGGGGTGCGTCCCCACCAGGAGCTGCCAGCCTGGGACCCACCACTTTCCGCAGGTTCTCATGCAGCTGGTTCACGATGACGTGCAGCCCGGACAGCTCGGTGATCATGGTGCTCAGCTCCTCGCAGGAGCGCTCGCACACCTCCGGCCTCCGTTGGGCGCCCGGGCCCCCGTACTCAGGGCCCCCCTGGGGGCTCAGGTGCAGTGTCTCCGTGTTCTCACTGATGGCGTTGGCTTCGGCTGCGGGAAGCACAGGACGGGGTGAGCGCGGCCTGGACGCATGGAAGCGGCGCCCAGGCAAGGCCGGGCCCATGCTGCGCCCGAGGTCCACCCCAGACGGGCGGGACGAGAGGTGGCACCGTGTCCATCACGGCCCCCGCTGGCAAAGCAGGGCTCTGCCCACAGCGACACCCTGCCAACAGGGCTTGCCGGCAGCCGGACACGCAGGGGTGGCGCCCAGGACAGGACCCAACAGATGGCAGAAGCCCTGGAGACTGTCCGTCTGCACACGGGCTGGAGCTCTGCCCCCACCAGTGACTCAGCCGGACGACAGGTGGCGGTCTCCCTCTCCGACGGCCCTCACGTCTGTCCCCACCGGAGTCGGCCTCCACCCACACATTCTCGGTGAATCCCACGGCCCCAGCAGCTCCTCTCTTGTCTATTTCTCTGTCCTAAACATCCTTTATTTAGGCCCCTCGCTCCGCATCAAGGCGGATTCAGTTCGTTTGGCAGACCTTGCACTCACGGCCCGTCTGTGGGCCTTGCAGCATCCCCGGGAGAGAAGGACAGACACCTCAGAAGGGCCACTGGGGGATTCGCTGCCCCTGGAGCCGCACAGACTCTCTGGGGTCCTCCCCACGGAGTGGCTGACACAAGCTGGAAACTGCCTTGGGCCCATCCAGAGACTGGGTCGTCCCCCGTGGGAGCCGGGCCGGTCTCGACATGGCCGTGGCCCCCAGCACATGAGTGTCACGGGGGTTAGATGCCCCACGTCTTGGTGGCTCCATGCTGAGTCACCCGTTGCAAATGCCCTCATTCTGCTGGGGTTTTATTCTCAGTCGTAAATCCTCGCTGCTGTCGCAGTGACCTTGGGAGCTCCCCTGCACTGCTGGGCAGCTGGGGGCGTGCACCACACCAACGTAAGCACGTCCGTCCCTGCACAAGGGTGTCAGATTGAAAACAAGGCCGCATGCACACACGCACCCCACAGCCCACGGCCGCCTGATTCTAGACTGACCCCAGAGCACCTCCTCAGGACTCAGGATGGGTACTCCATCATCACGGAGTCCGTCCCCCTGTGACAAGAGGTGAGGCAGGGTCACCGGTGGTCAGGGCTGGGACCAGGACTGGAGTCCCCTTGTCCTGCCATGGAGGGTGAGGGGTCTCTGCACCCCGTGGAGCTCAGCCCCAATAGTGACACTCAGCTTTCCCGTAAACACCACACAGCCCCCTCGGGTCAGAGCACCTGAGGGCCACCGTCCTCTTTCTCCGTGTCTGTGGAACCTTCCTGGTGCAGTTACTGTCGGATGTCCATTTACTATCCTAGCCTTTTCTGAACTTTCTGCTTTGTGATGGCCACATTCTCCCCAAAAAAAGGCAGTGGATTAAGTCACAGGGACAAGCAGTTGGCCTATTAGATGGGCTGCGCCCCATTAGCTCCTACAAACCAGAGGCTTGTGACGGGAGCCTGTGCGACGGGACAGGCGCTGCGGACCTCTCTCACTCCACGGTCTGGCCAAATTTCGCTATCCAGATCCCCTTCCTGCCCCATAGTTCAACTGACAGACAGTGGAAGATGGACAGACGGACAGGTGCACAGCCTCAGCGGTGACTCCTGGCCCACGCGGCTCGCCTAGCACCAGCACGGTGGACACCCAGGGGGTCCAGCGTCTACTCAGGGCTGGGTACAGCTTGCAGCTCTGGGGAGTGCATGTGGTGGAGCTGCCATCAAGCATTACAGATAGCACATCCTGCGTGCTCTGGACACATCAATCCATCACAAGGGAATGATTTACATGTGTCAGAATGTACGGTTGACATAAAGGGTGTCAATGAACATAAATCCTGCCCTGGGAGACCAGGGTGGGGACGTGGGGCAGCCTCCCACAGGGAGTCACACCTGGTCACTGTGGGACCTACCCTGCCCGGCGCCGCAGCTTCTTTACTGAAAAACTAACAAGCCCGTCTCAAAGGCATTCGAATATTCCCTGAAATTGGGTGTAAAGAGCCCAGCAGAGTGGAACTTCATCAAGTAAATGCTCAAGAACGTGTTGTCAAATTACGGCTGCAGGTAAATGCAGAAGGCAAGGAACAGACGCCGTGAGATCATCGGCCAGTGGTTCAAGCAGCGTCGATGTTTTCAGGATGGGATCTGTGGACAACTCTGAGGAGCGTGAGGAAACCTCCCTAAACCTAATGGGGCCAATATCTGTGGTGTTAGCTTACAGAGATGATGTTCACACATTAATTCATGGGGAAATTTGCATGTATGCATGTTCAAATGCAGGGATTGGTTTTTTGGCTTGTAAAACTGATTATTTTGGATTATTAAAATATATTCAAAGTTTATCTTTCAAGCACTTTATCATTTTCAGATGTCAATATGTCTAAGTTAACCAGCAAACTCACTCAAACACAATAATAGCACTTTATTAAAATGTTTTTTCTTAAGTCCCCACTAGGGTGCCCCCATACACACACACACATGTACATACATGCACACATATACATGTGCACAGGCACACATACACACACAGACACATATGCACATATATGGATACACATGGGCACATATGCACATGCACACACAGAGATACACACATAGGCAGATACACACATATACAGACACACATGCACATGCACGGATACATACACGCATACATGCCCACAAAGACACACAGGCACACACAGATGTACAGACACACAGGCCTATAGAGATACAGAGACGTACATGTGTGTATACAGATACACACATGCACATAGAGACACACATACACACATGTATAGACACACACCCACACACATGCACGGTATACAGATACACATGTGCACATATGTACATGTGCACAGAGACGCACATAGGCAGATACACATATGTAGAGACACATGTACTGATACACATATGCACACAAAGACACACAGGCACACACACGTATGTACACACAGTCCCATAGAGAGATGCACACACAATGAACATATACATTTACAAGCACACATGCACATATATACATGCACATAGAAACATGTGTGCATACATGTACAGACACACTTGTGTACAGGCACATAGACATACGTGCACACATGTATATAGACATGCACAGTCACACACAGACATACACATACAGACACACACTCACACATACATGCACACATGGATATATACACTCCAAGCTCACACCTCATAGTAGAAATCCATCCAAGACAAGAAAGGAAACACGAAGTACATTGTTCAAAACACACCTACCTCCCTGACTTTGCTGACAACCTTTCTTGCTCAGAACATCTTCCACTGAGTTTTCAAACACTAGGTGGACATTCTGTAGCAGACCCTAGAAATGCATGTGAGGAGAGGAAGAGATCAGGGGACACGCATCAGATGTCTGAGACTAAGTGACATTTAAAAAATACAAGATAGGATCTTAAAGTAGACAGAGTATTTCCTTCTGTGCTTTTACACCCAGCAGGTTTGAGCTCTTTACCACAGGTTTTCCTGTGTCTGGTACTTCTGATGCTTTGCTCTCAGCGTGGCAGAGATGAGGGACCTTATGTAGGAAGACAGTGAAGGTGGCCCTGAGACAGGTGTGCTAAATTCTGTCTTCCCAACACATCCAGTCGGACACTCTAGGCTGCACTTCCTTTGCAGGGGCCTCTGATGGCTCCTGGTGTCTGGTTGATGGTCTAATCACAGACGTGGACAATAGGTCCCATAGGTGATAGTGCTTTCCACACCACCAGCGGTCAGCGGCTCATGCAGCAGAGGTCACAGGAGCTTCCTGACAGTCACCAGATGTGAGTTCAATGACTGGTAAGAATTTTCACTTTCTACTCAAATAACTGTATTTAAATACGCATTTATTTGCAAGGAAGCCACACATGGTGGGGGGAGGGGGACAGTGCAATGACACTTGTTTGCAGGCTCTGAATGCTTGTGATTTTAAAATGATCTTCCAAAAAATATTTAGCATGAATGTATTTTAAGATGAGTATGGTGGCACCTGGGTGGCTCAGTGGCTGAGCATCTGCCTTCGGCTCAGGTCGTGATCTTGGGGTCCTGGGATTGAGTCCCAAGGGTCCCCTCGGGGAGCCTGCTTTTCCCTCTGCCTGTGTCTCTGCCTCTCTCTGTGTCTCTCATGAATAAATAAAAATCTTTTTTTTAAAAAGATGAACATAATACTATCCTCTTATAAATCAACAGCTGTTTTCTTAAAAAGCATGGCTGCTAACCTGCTCTCCTGGCGTCTCAGGGCTAAACGGGGAGAGGACAGTGGGTTCCACATACAGAGCCTGCGGTTGCCAGAACATCTGAAGGAGGCTGATGCCTTGGTCACCAAATCAGTCTTTAAACTGGAAACCAATGACTGTTTGCACAAGTAAGAAAGCACCTGGGACTATTTGCTCTGTGTATTTGTGGTTGAGAAAGGTGTGTGTGTGTGTGTGTGTGTGTGTGTGTGTGTGTGTGTGTGTGCCTATGTACATGTGTGGTGGTGTGAGTGTGAGAGTGTTCATACACATGCATGTGCAGTGTTTGTACACTCGCATGTGTGTGATTGGATGTGCATGTGTGCGTATGTCTGCAACACACATGACATTTTGCATGTGTGCCCACAGGTGCATGTGCCTATGTACATGTGTGGTGATGTGTGTGTGAGAGTGTGCACACATGTACATATACAATTTGTATGCATGCATGTGTGATCCGGTGTGTGGGCATGTGCATGTGTACATGTGTGTGCACATGCACATGTGTGGTTATGTGCATGTGAGAGTGTGCGCACATGTGCATGTGTACAGTGAGCACATGTGTGTGATTGGGTGTACATATACATGTGACATTTGTACATGCACACCTGTGTGTGTGCTCACACGTGTGTGCATATGTATGTGTCTCTGTGTGACCACACATGGTATGTGTCCCCTGACCTGCTCCAAAATGGGCATCAGGTGAAGAGGCCCCCGCCGGTCAGCTCCCGGCCAAGCCGGCTCCCCAGCTCCGAGCCTCTACCGTGGGCCTGCTGCACGTCCCCCAAAGTCCTCTACCGCGGGCCTGCTGTACGTACCCTGAAGTGACTGTCCCGAGCAGAGCCCTTGGCCACGTACATCCTGGTCTTTTCTGTCCGCAGCTGCTCGTAGAAAGGCTCGTCCAGCGTGAAGCTATCGATCAGGTCACAGCCCACGTACAGGCTGTAGGTGTCCCCCGTCACCTGCACAGTGACATTCTTCCACTGCGAGTCAGCCAGGCCCACGTCCTCCAGGGAGATGACGTGCTGGGTGCCGTCTATCCAGTAGGTGAGGTCCAGCGTGTCTGCCGGGCCGTTGGAGACAATCTCGAATTGCCGCTGGGCGCCGGGGCCCTCCAGCGCCAGGAGCGTGCCCCGGGACTTGGGGTCCTGCTTCAGGCTGGCCGTGAGAAAGAAGCCCTCCTTCTGCCGCACGATCTTGGCGATCCTGCTGAGGTAATCTGCGCTCACCGGCGGGATGTAGTCAAACCGGACGAAACGGTACGCTGGCACGCTGGGGTCGGGCCCCCGGAACTGCTTGGCCCCGATGGTCTTTCGGTTTATGTTGCTGATCCTGAAAAGGTCGAAGGCCATGTCCTCGTCCTGGTCACCAGCTGCCGGGGGCACAGAGCAGGGAGGTTACGAGCAGGTGGGGCAGCAGACCGGGATCTCGCGTGTGAGTGCGCTAATGAGGCACCAGTGTCCCTCTGGTCCCCTCCCTTCTCACCAGGGTGCTCGAGGACGCTGTTATGCAAAACCATGATCCTCTTTTTCTGGGGCTGCTTCCCCATGTGGGGCCCCCAAGACAGCTGCTGGTTCACGGAGCTCGCTTCGTGGGGGACCGTGTGGGGAGCGAGCGCCGGGAGGCAAACTGAGCACTCTGTCTAGATTGCCTGGCACTTTCTGCAGCCGGACTTTCTCAAGAGAGGAGGCACCGCCCTGAGCAAGGCTCTTGCACACCTTCCCAGTGCACCCCACTGTCCTCCCATCCACATCGGGGCTAAACTACGGCCCTGTCCCTAGAACACATCCTGTCAAAGAAGTGGGTCTCTAGGGCAGCCCTGGTGACCCAGCGGTTTAGCGCTGCCTTCAGCCCAGGGCGTGATCCTGGAGGCCCGGGATCAAGTCCCACATCAGGCTCCCTGCGTGGAATCTGTTTCTCCCTCTGCCTGTGTCTTTGCCTCTCTCTCTCTCTCTCTCTCTCTCTCTCTCTCTCTTTGTGTGTGTGTGTCTCTCATGAACGAATAAATAAAATCTTAAAAAAAAAAAAAGAAGTGGGTCTCTGCCCTTGCTATCACAGGCTGCTTTCTCATGGAGATCGTCTGACTTACACAAGCTATATGGGTGTCTCTTTATTTTGCAGAAGGTGTATTCCGCAACTCTTACTGAATGCTCCACGTAAGGCCCCGAGGCAGTGCTGGAGCTCAAGTCCACAAATACGTGGTTTTAAGTCACCCTCTGAAGGACTAACAGAAAAGTGAGCAGACCATCCCAAGACATGACAGTTAAAATAACTCAAAATAATTTACTCAACAGAATGTTTAAAGGAAGCACAGCTTTCCGCCTTCTAGGGGGTGCATTAAAACATCATATCCATGGAGTTGCTGATCAAAGTGAGAACTCCACCACCTTTAATAGAGCCACTTGGTAATCCAGCAGAAATCCTTAAAATAAAGCCTTCGACTCAGCAATTTTATTTTCGGAACTTATTCTCAGGACATAATCACAAGTACTAGTAGAGATGAATCACAACAGGATTCCTGGTGGCATCGTTTACGCTAATGATGATAAAGTAATGATGGAGATGGAGATTGGTCTAAAAAATGCCAGGGTTATCTCTTGATGGAATATTACACGGTCGTTAAAAACCATTTGTATGAAAATAAGCACACAGGGAAATAGTTATATTTTCAAGTAGGAAAAAACGCAGAAGAAAAGAGTTCTAAAACATCAAGCACTTCCACGGTTATAAATTCAGCATGTAAAAAAAAATAGGCCCTATGTGCACAGCGAAAGTTGCATCTCTAATCTAATACCTAGATTTCCCCAAAATAAGTCATTTCCTATTATATAGACTTGAAAGTAAGTAAATAACTAATGGAAGTTCCAGATGTTCTGAGGAGCAGCGGCCACGTTACCTGCTGGGGCCCGAGCAGCCCCGACGACCGGGAGTGCGGCCCACACTCACCTTGAGCGCTGGACGAGGCCCAGAGGGCAAGCAGCACGAGCGCCCCGAGCATCCTGCCGTCCGCAGCCGAACCCTGCGGGGGAATCAGACTCCTGTTACGTAGGCGCACACGGTGGCAACTTTCCGTGGCACCTGGAATTTCCACTCAGTGAACAGCTTGTGCATCGGAATCAAAACCAGTGCATTTGTGGGAAGTAAAAGCTAGATAAGGAATTAGCTTTTCAAAAAGGGCTCTTGTAACTGTAGCTGATTTTTATTGGACCAGCACATGTTGACAAAGCTCTGTGCTAATCACCATCTCAATATTCACATGATTTGATCCTCATAATGACCTAGGGGCCAAGTGCTATCACTATCATGCCCATTTTACAGATGAGAAAATGAAGAACCAGCAATGTTGAGTGCTGGCCCAGAGCCACCAGTCCTGGTGAGACGTGTGACCAGGACTTAAACCCAGGACGCGTGAATTCAGGAAAATGTCAGCATTGTTTAGAAAATCAACTACGAAGACATTTCTGAGCAAATAACCAAGAAAAAAAAAAGTTGTGCATAAGTTAAATAGAATAAATATTAGCTGTATGCAGGAAAAATAAATTTAATTTGGTGTATCATAACCACAAAAAAACATAGCATTCCACTTAGCAATCACTTTTACTCGGCTGTTCTGTTTTCCTGCAGGCCTGTTTTTCCATTCTTGAGGATTTTCAGTTGGCGTAGTTCAGGCCAGCAGACGCAGGGCCAGAACTCAGGAGACCTGGACAGAAGCCCGTCCGCTCTTAACCCCTGCTCCGCCTGGGCTCTCCCGCGCCAGCACCCGCCGCGGGCACGTGGGGCACGGAGGTCCCCCAGCGGGAGCTGCTTCCTGCTCTGGACCAAAGCCACGCGGAGACCCTGACTGCTCCCTGAGGACGGCAGCAGAGCTCGCGAGCGTCACAGGGTCAGGGAAACCCAGGGAGTGTCCCTCTCCAGGAGGCTCTGGTAAATGGGACCCGGTCAGCTTCTTGGGATGCAGGAATGTGCCCCAGGAGCAGAGGCCGCTCTGCAGGGCCCCCGGCCCCTCTGAGGTCTGCGCAGCCTCAATACAGACAGGTCCCTGTGCCTGGGTGCTCTCGAGTGCTGCACGGTGACGCGGCGGGCTCTATGCCTCAACCTCCCCGCCTCAGTTCCGTCACCTGTACGATGAAGAGTAGTCACCTGAAACATCCCCTGACAGGCGCGGTGAGAAAGGAGCTGAGTGGGTTCAAACTGTGAAGGGCACATCGCATGGCGGCGCAGGCACCTGCTGGACACGTGGCTGCCCCCAGACCGCGTTCCCTGGGCTTTCCAGCACAGGAGGGACACGATCGTTCTGGTTCTCAAAGGACTGAGGTCACCCGTAAGCCTCCAAAGTCAGAATAACACCTGGCGCTCAAGGAGCTGCATGTAAGTGCTGTCAGTGTAAACCGGGGTGAGCACATCGGGAGCCCTGCCCAGATGTGTGCGGTCCGTCCCCCGCAGACAGGGGTGACAGCCGCTCCAGCAGAGGGTGGCTCCGTCCAACACGCACTTTCTCAAGCGCTGGAGGCCCGGCTTCAACAGAGCAAACTGGACTCTCCTGCTCCCCAAATCCAGCCTCTGACTCCTCAAAGAGGAGTGTCCCCGGGTATCGGGGGGACAAATGAGTGAGGGGCAGTCCCCTCGTGTCTCACGGGGTCACCACAGCAGGACCATGCGCCGCGGGGACTGCCACTCTGTGTCCAAGGCTGCTCCAGGGCAGTGCTGCGTGCACGCCGTGTCACCCGCCGCACGCGGGACAGACACACGGACACGGACACACGCTGCCCTAGCCGTGAGCTTTGCTTCCACGCACTCAGGGTATAATGTTGGCTCTGTTTCCCCAAGAAAGGTTTTCAAAGCCTCTCTGCAGTGGAATGTAATTAGAACTCACAAGGGGCTTCTAAAGTTCTTTTATATCCACAAGCAAAGCAACAATGAGTTTGCTGAGCCACATGTAGTCCCCTCCCTCAGGACCCCCGCCCTCACCGTCCCCCCCCCCCCCGCCACACAGCAGCCTCCTGCCGCCACCCCAGCCCATGCGTCTGTGCAGAGCGCCCCCCCCCCCCCACTGCAGCCCCTGCCAGGCTCTCCAGTCCTCGCACACTTCCCTGGACCTGCGGCAAGTACTGTCCATGAACAACGTTCAGGACGCTCCTGGGCTGTTAGTAACATTTAGAATTGGAGTCTATGATGTCCCGGACCGTGTCCTCACTTTCTCAGGAGGATTTTTCCAGGACGACCCCCTCCTGGCCCCCATCAACGACAGACATCCCTGCGGGAGCTTCCTACTCCGCAGCCAAAAGCAGGCTCGCAGGCAGGTACGCCTGGGAGAGCCACAGGGACCTTGCGACCGCAGGACAGCCAGGAAAACTGCCGGCATGACCAGAAGGTTCCCCGGGGCTTCCTGGCATCCGCTCTTCGCGCCGCATGAACCCAAGTTGACAGTCAAGCCCCCACCTTACATTAGGAATCTGTTTGGCACTTTTCCCTCCTCCCTCTTTAGAAATCAAAACAGCATCTTCTGAAAACTAAAGTACGATGTCACAATTTTGTAGTGATTTCATCAAGTGCTTACCGGTGCGGGAGCCAGCGGTGGCAAGGGCCGGTGCGGTGCGGGGTGCGGCGCAGGGACCAGGACCGCGCAGGGACCAGGACCGAGGCCGGAGGAGGCTCAGCCCTCCCTGCAGGCGAGCTGGGGTCGGCCCCGCACTGGCGGCCGGGCAGCAGCCGCTGCTTTATATGCTCCGGTCTCCGGGGTGGTGCTGTCAATCAGACACGGAAGGAAGCACGTTTAATTCATCCTTCGAAGGAGTGACATAATCCCCCTCCGATCTCGCATTCGCTCTGAGCACCTGGCACAGGGGCGCTGGTGCCGCCCCGCTCCCCCCAGCCCTCCAGCTGGGGGACAGCAGAGGAGGAGCCACATGAGAGGGGAAGGCAAGCGCTCGCTTTTCCTGTCTTCTCTGAGGAAATAAAATGCTATAAATACAACCAGCAAGATTGGCTGGAACTCCCCTTTTTGCTTAAGACAAAAATTGCAAGTTCTAGAGTTTTAAGTAAGCCAGAAGGAGAAGGGATTTCTAACCCAGACGAGTCACAATCACCGCGATGCAAACTGATGCGTCCCTGGAAGGAGTCAATGTACGGATGAGGCTATTGCATAGCTGGATTCATTTATCACGTGCAGAATAAATATTGGATCAAAAGAAGAAGTTGGAAAATGTTATTTTTGCACTTAGATGACTGAGAAATAGGAGAGGGAGGATTTACTCCATCCAAGTCCTCACTGTGCTGTCGAGACTGCATAGGAGGCCTCCCCGCAGGTGCCAAGAATGGGGCCACATCCATCCGGGACTTTGTCCCCAGGGCCACTGACACCATCATCAGCTCCATGGGCTCACCTGGCCAGGCACCTTGAAGGATAAGGACTCGAGAATAATAATAGTGGCAGCAGTCAGATGCCCTGCCCCTCACCAGAGCTCAACATTGAGCCAGCGTGGACAGTGGTCAGAGGGAGGAAGACCTGATCAGACAGAGGTGGAGGTGGACAGAGGGAGGAGGAGGAGGAGGACAGTGGGAGAAAGAGGTGGCCAGAAGGAGGAGGAGGTGGTCAGAGGGAATAGGAGGTAGACAGAAGGAGGAAGAGTAGAAAGGAAGGAAGAGGTGATCAAAGGGAGGAGGAGGGGGGCAGAGGGAATAGGAGGAGGACAGAGGGAGGAGGAGGTGGACAGAGGGAAGAGGTAGACAGAGGGAGGAGGAGTAAGGAGGGAGGAGGAGGGGGCAGAGAGAGGAGGAGGAGGACAGAGGGAGGAGGAGGAGGACAGAGGGAGGAGGAAGAGGTCAGAGGGAGGGAGAGGTGATCAGAGAGAGGAGGAGGGGGCGGAGGGAAGAGGAGGAGGACAGAGGGAAAAGGTAGACAGGAGGAGGAGGAGTAGAGAGGGAGCGTGGACAGAGGGAGGTGGACAGAGGGAAGAGGAGAGGGAGGAGGAGGTTGACTGAGGGAGGACGAGGGGGCAGAGGGAGGAGGTAGACAGAGAGAAAAGGAGTAGAAAGGGAGGAGGATATGGTCAGAGGGAGGAGGAGGTGGTCAGAGGGAGGAAGAGGTGGTCAGAGGGAGGAAGGGGTAGTCAGAGGCAGGAGGTAGAGGGAAGAAGGAGGAGGAGGTGGTCAGAGGGAAGAGGAGTGTAGAGGGAGGAGGATATGGTCAGAGGGAGGAGGACATGGTCAAAGGGAGGAGGTAGACAGAAGGAGGAAGAGTCTAGAGGGAGGAGGAGGTGGTCAGAGAGAGGAGGAGGGTGGACAGAGGGAGGAGATGGTCAGAGGGAAGAGGAGGACAGAGGTAGGAAGAGGTGGTCAGAGGGAAGAAGAGGTGGTCAGAGGGAGGAAGGGGTGGTCAGAGACAGGAGGTAGAGGAGGAGGATAGAAGGAGGAGGAGGTGGTCAGAGGGAGGGGGATGTGGTCAGAAAGAGGAGGGGGTGATCAGAGGGAGGAGGAGGAGGACAGAGGGCGGAAGAGGTGGTCAGAGGGAGGAGGATGTAGACAGAGAGAGGAGGAGGAAAGAGGGAGGAAGAGAGGAGACAGAGGAGGATGTGGTCAGAGGGAGGAAGACCTGATCAGACAGAGGTGGAGGTGGACAGAGGGAGAGCAAGGTGGTCAGGGGGAGGAGGGGTGGTCAGAGGGAATAGGAGGTAGACAGAAGGAGGAGGAGTAGAGAGGGAAGAAGAGGTGGTCAGAGGGAGGAGGAGGGGGCAGAGGGAATAGGAGGAGGACAGAGGGAGGAGGAGGTGGACAGAGGGAAGAGGTAGACAGAGGGAGGAGGAGTAAGGAGGGAGGAGGAGGTGTCAGAGGGAGGAGGAGGACAGAGGGAGGAGGAGGACAGAGGGAGGAGGAGGTGGACAGAGGAAAGAGAAGGAGAGAGGGAGGAGGAGGGGGCAGAGGGAGGAGATAGAGGGAAAAGGAGTGGAGAGGGAGGAGGATATGGTCAGAGGGAGGAAGAGGTGGTCAGAGGGAGGAGATGGTCAGAGAGAAGAGGAGGAGGACAGAGGTAGGAAGAGGTAGTCAGAGGGAGAAAGAGGTGGTCAGAGGGATGAAGGGGTGGTCAGAGGCAGGAGGTAGAGGGAAGAGGAGAAGGATAGAAGGAGGAGGAGGTGGTCAGAGAGAGGAGGTAGACAGAGGGAAGAGGAGTGTAGAGGGAGGAGGAGGTGGTCAGAGGGAGGAGGAGGGTGAACAGAGGGAGGAGATGTGGAGTCAGCTCACAGGATGGTCCAGGGCAAAGGGCACCCATGCTGCCTGGGCATCAATGTCCACTACAAAAGAAAGGTCAAGTTTCCACTAAAGAATATTAAAGAGTGTATGGAGTGAAGTGAGGCCCCCATGGAAGTTTATTAGCAAGATAACATCATGCGGCACCTGACACTTCACCTGGGTCCCTGTTGGGATCGAGAGTATCAGGCTGGGGCCATAGAGGGGCCAAGGGACAGCAGGAAGCACGCAGCCCAGCAGCTGTGACCCAGTTCCTGGAGCTTCTGCGTGGTATTTGAGGATGGGGCAGGTAGAGATGGGAACTGCAACTGGATGGATGACGATCCTTGCTCACTGTGCATGTTTTTAAGGTCTTATTTATTTATTTATTTGACAGACAGAACATGAGCAGGGGGAGGGATAGAGGGAGAGAGAGAAGCAGACTCCCAGCTGAACAGGGAGCCTGACATGGGGCTCAATCCTGGGACCCCGGGATCACAACCTGCGCTGAAAGCAGACACTTCACCAACTGAGCCATCCAGGCGTCCCTCACTGTGCATTTTTGAAAGTCATTTTACCTAATATAGCTCTTCATTTATCACCTGGTGGAGAGTACCAATTTCTGATGTACAAAGAATGTGCGTGTCTGAAGGTAACATACCTTCCCGTGGCCAGCTAGTTGATAGTGAAGTTATATTTTGAAAAAAAAAAATAGAGAGAGAGAGAGACTCTGCACCACTATATTAGTTATCTGCAATTGCAAAGAAGAGTGTATAACCACATTTCCCTTAAAGAATCTTCAGTGAATAAATGTCCATTTATCAGTTTATCTTACTTTGCTTACTGGTTGGTCTATCTGTGGCCAGAAAGTGCAGGTTATACCCTCACTCTTCTGTATCAGCCAAAGATGCTCTGAATGCATTTCTTCTTCTATTTGTGCCCTGAGCGGACACTTACTGAGCGGCCCTCTTAGACCTGCCATCCAGTGAGCATTCCTGCGACAGGTAGATCTTCTGGTCTATGATATCAAGACGAGCTTTGTGGAGGGGAGGAGGCTGCTGTCTGATGCTGAGGACGTAGCATAGAGGGGGGTCTGAGAAGAGCATGACAGGGACCGCGCAGGGCCGTCCTCCAGCCCTGGCCTGCAAACATTCCCATCCTGTGACCCATGAACACCAGAGGCACAGCCAGCAGACTCCCGACTACGGTGAAGCAAGGACAGATAATACATTGGATGATGGAGCAAAAGGTCTCAACAGGCTAAAAAATGGGTTGAATGTGACCATCAGAAATGTCAGAATGAGAGGTTCCTAGTTCTCTGTGGACACTGGGTGGGGCCCGGCCAAAGTTTCTAGAACATCCGACTTAGTGGGAAATGGACTTGTTTGAGGCAGGAGACACAGGGGAGGTGAAAGGAGGCAGGTGGACATTCAGGACAGCAGGACTGGTCCTGGGGACAGAGCATGACCTGGAGAAGCAGATGATGCAGAAGGAGCCCGTGGGGAGCTGGGAGGCCTGAGCAGCCTAGACCAGAACCCTGGCAGGCCCTCCAGCCTGGGAACACAGGAAGAAGTGACAGGAAGGCCCGACGTAAGGCAGAAAAGCCACCCGATGGAAGTGGCATGACCTGCTAAAGAGCTCAAGTCAATTCCCATCTGTGTCCTGAGGTCCCACTGCGAGGTGGGCACTGGCTGAGATGTGAGGACACACAGCAAGGTGATGGGGCTGGTTGCACCTCAAGGGGTTTGCAGACCAGCACCCGACAGAGGGCCAGCCTCCCCCAGAGGAGCACAGAGCCCAGGCCTCTCAGGACCAGACCCAGGCCCACACCTGCCCTGCCAGTCCCGCCGACGGGACGGTCATTCTAGCTTGTGACTAGAAGCCGTGGCCGTGGCAGAGGTCTGGACCGTGAGTATCCTGTGAGTATCCTGTGACTGTGACCGGTCATCAGGTCTCGTGATGGAGGACAGTCAGTCCGAGCCTGAGGACAGAGGAGGAGACAGGAGTGCACAGACCTCCATACCAGAGCCCAGTCAGAGAGCTGGTTCTGGAATCAGGCCCAGCCCAGAGACCCAGCATCGAGCCTGGTAGGCGTGGGGCTTCTAAGCTGCTGACCCGGGGCTGAGGAACACTCCTGCCTAGGGATGGGCCAGCCCGGGGACCTTTCCGAGTCTGAAGATCGGAAACCTTGGGGCAGCTCAGTCTGGAGAATGAAACAAAGGCCACACTCAGACCAAACTTCCCCTCTTCCAGGGCATCCTCCACAGAAGTGGGGTGAGGGTGGGGACCCGGCCCTGGGACCCACTTTCGGGCTATACTCATGCAGAACATGCTCAGCATCACCCCCCACCCCCAGGTCCTGGCCACACTGGGCCCAGGCTCAGGTCCAGGCACTGGATTTTAGGAGAAAGGTGACCCTGGTGCAGCCCCTGACAAGGACCCCAGGGTGCGGAGCTGGAGAATGGCAGGGAAATGGAGTTTGTGGCTTCTGGGGCAGATTTAGAATTTATGCACGAAGGAAGTGGGATTAGAATTCCTGCTCCCTGCTCACAGCTGCCTGCGGCGCCACAGCCTCCATTCACGGGCAACACTTGAGCATCCACGGGCTGCTGGGCACCCACCCCCCAAGGGAGATGCAGTGGGGGTCCACGTGACAACCAGGGGCTCGTGGGAGAGGGGTCCACACAGCAAGGGGTCT